GCATCAAATGGTTTGTATTTAAATTAGATTTAAAAAGTGCTTTGATCGAAATCCTCAATAAATTCATCTATTTTCACAAAAACCAGCCGCTTCTTGTCTGTGGTTTCGACTTTAAAGGGTGAAAGTCACCTTGTGCTGTCAGCGGCGGCTGTCCGAGACGCCGGATCGCCTGTCGCCCGGTGACTGAAGCTTTCCTCGCTGCGCCTGCCTCACTTCTTTGTCCATTGTCTGCGCAGAGCAGAGCAGCCGCTTTCCGGTGTTTTAAAGTATGAGCTCTGGAAGGATGGATCGGATTAAAGAGGCACAGCATGCAGTGCCAGGCGGAGGGTGAAAAGGATAATGCCCACAACAAAAAAATGAGTTTTTTTTTTTGGGGGGGGGGGGTCAGGTGTGAGTTGGGAGGGAAGTGCTGGGACCAGAGGAAGGAGGGGGAGGTGAGCAGGTGGACTGAGCCTCAGTCAGAGCTGGTCATGACTCTGAATTCATGCTGATAGAGACGAGAAGGAAGCCGACAGAGTGAGGAGCCATCAAGGGTTACAGGATGGTGAAGTGCTGGAAGCATTCAGAAGGACGGTGCTCGGTAAGAACCTGCTCCACACCCACAAGCAGAACTATTCAAGATCCGTACATTTTTACTAGAATAGGGACCAAAACCTAAATCTCCCTTCAACTTTTTTCATATTGTTGTGATGTGTGTATTTCTATCTTTTCCAGTAGTAACGCCTCTATCTCCGGTCTTCTGGGGTTCTTCTCTAGCAGCTTTGATCATCAACAACTTGAAAACTTTTCCCATTTCTCAACATAGATTAGCTCAAGTTGAGATGGACTGGAAGGAAAAATTATTTGAACCTGTTTTCAGGTCTAAATGCAGATTCTTAGTTAGGTTTAAGTGCAGACTTTAACTAGGCCGTTCTGACCCCTGGAAGGTAAACATCCATCCCAATCTCAAATTTTCTCTTTTTCATTTCTTGGTTTAGCCTTATCCTATCTCCGACTGCTCTCCTATGTCCCACAGCATGATGCTACCACCACCGTGTTTAAAGCTTTAGTGATGAATTCCCACCTGAACTGTGTTTCTTCTCCTCCCTGTCAGACTAGATGGTCATTCATATCTTGGTTGGTCTGCAGTTGTTTTCATTCCGTTTGAATAATGTCTATCCAGCTTCACAGGGACATGTTCCTTTTTATTTAATTAAGGGTATACTTTTTGTTAAAGTGCGTTGCAGTTTCTTATGCATGAAAACATCTTGTCAGGGTGGAGGTTTGGATTCGTCTCACTTCCCACACAAAGCCTTCTGGATTAGTCTCTCAGCACTCCTGCTCCTGGTCACTGTGGCTCTCGGACTGGCCGGCCACCTTGCGCTGACGGGGCCCCACTCCAAGGTATTGTACTCGGACCTCGTCCGCTGCAAACCCGCTCAGGTGTTCCTCTAAATCTGCCCGTTTCTACCGCACCAGTCTCTGCAGAGCGTGAGAATCACCTCACCAGATCAACTCAACCAGTCGGCTGTTGTGGACCTGCAGAACCGCCTGGTGACGTTTTCCGTCACCTCATCAGGAAACCGGACGTCCACGGTGCTATTTGATGTGAAACACGTACGTGAGAAACATTCAGAATAATAAAACTTCTGATGAGGACGATGAGAGACGTTTCTGCTGCTGTTGTTGCAGGGTTTGATTTGCTACAAACCTTTGGACCAGAACACCTGCTTCCTCCAAACAATGGAGCGGTCGGACTACGACCATGTGGGCGCCTTTCTCAATCAATCACAACACAAGGTAGCAGAACATCTCTGGCGGTAAAAGGTGTTAAAGTTACAGTCTTCAACCCTAAACCTGAAAAGGTGCATGAGCAGAGGAGCAAACCGGGCCTTAAGGTGCCTTTATTCTCCCTCTGTGGCCTCCGTGACTGAATTCCTCAGCACATCTGATCCTTCCAGCCCCCTCGGCGTGCTCGGGATCTTTTTACAGGAGGCTACAGCAGCAAACTTGACCAGGGCACAATGGTCACTCTGTGTGACGCCTCTCTTTGGATTCAAAGACTCTGAATGTTTCTGCTGTTGGTCCCAGAGCTTGATCTCTGATGCCGATTTAAACTCCCACTCTGTCCTGAAATCAGTCTGTTTGTGAATATGATTCATGCTCATTTATCTGATCTTTAAACCACATTTTGAGGACCTGAGAACGGTTAATTAGAGACCAGGTTCCTTATCGTCTCGGTGCTCCATTTCCTTCCATCAAAAGCTGCGTATTGGTTATTGTTATTTAATCTGTCTGAGATAGCAGCTCTGTTTTGTGCTGCTTATTTTTCACTTTCTACCGTTGAGGAGAAGGGAGCTGTAACAGGAGCTGATGTTTTCTATTGGAGCTGATTAGAGCAGTAATGGCTGTCATTACACACAGTCTTTGTGACAAATAGATTTAGTGCAGCTGGAGTTTCTGTGGGGTTTTTATTCGCCACAGCAGTTGATGGTTGTAGATGTTTGAAACGGTGATCCTCTCCTTGGCAGAGAAACGTTCAGCTGTCTGGGAATGAGACGCAGAGGAGGACGGAGTTCCTGGGAGTGCTGTCCGCCAGTCAGGTGAACGAGTCGGCGTTAGAGGAGCCTCTTGGGACTCTGTGTCGGGACAGATCTGTCCACTGGACACGGAGGACAGACGGTGAGAGCTTTTTGTACATAATTATGAAAATAATTCGGGTAGGGGCAACTATTTGATTCTAGAATAACACTTTTTCCTTCCACACAATTTTCCATTAACACACTTGTACAGGTGTTGACTGCCGGGCTACTAAATCAGAGGTTCCCAAACATTTCAAGCTGTGACTCACAAAATAACAATGCAGCAGATTAAAGATACATTTAAATGTTTTTTTTTTATATCTTTATATATATTATCATCCTAAAAAAAATCTAAAGTGAAGCAATTATATTCATTTTTAAATAAATGTTTTGCAATGTTCAAGTTAAAATTCTATAAAATGTTTGAATTATGTATTAGTTAAATAAATATTTGCAGCCCTTATTTAATTTATCATGCATTTTATTATATATTTTTGCCCATCATATACCTCAGTGATGACATCTGGTGAGCCCCAGTTTGGAAACCACTGTACTGAAACAAGCTGGGACAAATAAACTTTAACATTAGCACCGACCAGCAGCTTTCCTCTATGAGGGTCAGTCTGTAGGGAGGCTTTTCAACAAGCTTTCAGAGGAGAAATCGGAGCTGAAACACAAGTCCAAACCACGACATACTCTGACCTTTCAGCTGGATGAGAGGACGCTTTCATCCCTGTTTGCTCAACTAGCAGAAGCCATCATGTTGGAGGTACTTTCTAACCTCATGAAGGCGAAACGTCATCTGATTTTAAGGAAAATGGAGATAAAGCACCATCATATGAGGTGTGTTCGGTTTCAGAGGCTGCATCCTCCAAGGACCCGGTCTACCTGGTGCAGAGGTCTGGTCGGGTTCCAAGCTCATTATGTGTCCTACAAATGCATCCTTCTTTTTGCCCGATTTGAAGGACGGTTCCGATGTATCCTCTCTATCCTTGGGTATCCCAGGATTCATTGCGAGACCAAGCAAGCCGGCTACTCCGTGATCAGAGGAAAGGTTACTTGGAGCCGGACAGTGGTGAATATTGGAAGTAAAGTTTATTCTAATACAAGTATGTGAATAGTTCCGTCTGAAATGAATGAAAATAGTTGTTATCTAAAGGTTTTTATCTGTTACTGTGTAAATGTAAATGGGCTTGGCTCTAATTTAAGGACAGATTCTAATATATCAGCAGTGTGGGGACTATAAATCTGATAGGATTTTTATTTTTTTATTATTTTGCCAAATTTGCTTAACTATTTGTTGTTGTTTAATATAAGAGATTTTGCAGATATATTTTTATTCATACATTGTTTAGATTTACTTATATCTTTCTACCCCTTTTATAGAATAGAATAGAAAATCTCTGTATTGTTCCACAATGGGGAAATTTACAGCAGCATAAAGATTACTGAAAAAAATTGTCACATAAATGTGTACACATTTGTGTTCACTATACAATAAAAAATAAATAATAAAATAAAAAAAAAAATAAAAAAAAGAAACTGTTTGGAAACTGAAGACCTGTTTAAATTCACAGCCAAAGCTCTTCCGGTCTCCTTATTTTCACGGACTTCGAAGGATCCAGTCCAGGTAGACAGCATCCTTTGAAGACATAGCCCATAAATTCAAACAGAGCCAATAACCATTTAAAACAACTATTTTCATAATTTCAGACAGAATCTTTCACATACTGTATTATATTAAACTGCACTTCCAATATTCACCACTGTTCGGCATCATTTACGTTCTTGCTTGGTCTCGCAATGAATCCTGGGATACCCAGGGCTAGGTAGGATAAACCGAACCTGTCCTTTAAAGGAGAAGGCTGCATTTGTCGCCCACATAACGAGGAACCTTCCAATCCGAACAGGCTTCGCTGCCGTGCTATGACCGGCCCCTGAATTCAAACTCAGCAATGGATTGAGTATGCTTTCCAAAGCCTGCGATAAAACAGTCCAGTTTATGTTTTTAACCCTGTGGTGTGTGTGTGTGTTATCCAGGTCCAGGCAAACAGAGATTGGTTTACTTCTGCATCGACATCTGCTTCCCCAGCAACATCTGTGTGTCTGTGTGCTTCTACTACCTGCCAGAGTGACCTCAGAGGTCCCTCATTCACCAGCATGGTGGGGTGGGGGGGCAGGGGTCCTCCATCATCATAAACTAGTGAAGCTGCCAACTAATGAATTCCATCCTTTCAGAGACAGAAAACATGGGAGGCAGTCCTGGTTGTCTTTAAACTCTCATCACCCCATTTCATGTCTACTACGCCCTCTGCTGGCACAATCTGAAAACTCAAGACAAAAAGCCTCTTTTCTTTTTAATCACGACTGGAACGTAAATATTTACAATCATTGTTGTAGAAATGTTTTACTTGGCTAATAAAACACGCACTGCTGGTATTTGTTTGAGATTTTTTTTAATAACAAATAAGAGTCTTATAGAGGATTAAAATAATTTTACAGCATTTATAACTGAATGAGCAGTACAGAGTTATTAGATCTTAGCTGCACATAAAGAGCAGGAAATTAATTCCAATGTTCAACATTTTATTACCTTAGAGACAGACTTTAATTTACTATCTTGGGCTTAACTGTAAAATAAAATGATAAATAGTTTCAAATTTTTTACAAAAGCATCTAAAGGTTGTGTGTATTCAGCCCCTTTTAATCTAATGCTCCTCGGTAAAATGCTTCCTGCGCAGCTGACTGACTTGGCTGAGCTTGGAACGTTTGCACCTCGTCCTGCTGCAGGCGGAAACACCGTTTCCTTCATGGAAACCTTCAAATCATCCTCTTCCTCCTCAGCCCAGCACGCTGTCGTTGAAGGCCAGACACACCACGGCTTTCTGGTGGCCGCTGTACTCCCTCTTGATCTCGCCGGTCTCCACGCACCACAGCCGGGCCAGGTTGTCTGAAGACGCTGTGGGGAAAATCATCAAACAAACCCTCATTAAGGAACTTTCTATCTTAGGTTTTTATACACTCAAGATACTTTTTACATTTGAAACCTTTACAGACCCACAAACAGTCCTAATATTTGGAGAACGCTGCAGAGGAACCAACATGCCTTTAGAAGTCGTTTACAGGCTTCTAAATGCTCATTTTATAACCAAACAGAACTTTTTAGCTGCAGTGACAGGATGCATGTTTGCAAACATCAGGATGGAGATTTTAAAGCCAAGAACATTTCAGCTGCTGTAAAGCACGGCAGTGGCAGCATGCTGTGTGGATGCCACAGTGTTTAGCCCCACGATGGGTGGAATCACGGAGGAGTATGTATAATTTAAACATCATGTGGAATACAGAAAATCAACCAAATATTCAAACTTCTACACCTGATTACTGTGGTTATCTTGCACTACCATAAAAAAGATTAATTTAAATAAAGCACTTAAAATTCAGCATGAAAACAAAAATTAGGAATGGGGGATCTGTTCAGATTGTTAAGATTTATAATTAATTTGTTTCTATCGGATCTGAGCTCAAATTGGATCGCAGGTATTAGCTTAATCACATGGCTGTGTAGTCATGCAACAAATATTAACATTTAACAGGGAATCAGTTAAGTAATGGTAGTTGATAGCAGCTGTGATGACAGCTTACTGAGGAAAGGATATGTAGGAAGGGTATTTTCCAGATGAAAACAGTAAGAGATTAAACCCAGAATGAAAGAGGCTCATCTACAGACCGGTAACTATGTACTGGGAGTCTCCTGAGAAAGCACAATCCCACATCCAGCCCCTCGACGTCTCTCCTGGATTGTTGCTCTTGATGCTCAGCTCAGTCATGAGGGAGAAATTGGACGTCCTCCAGATCTTACAGGTCTGGTCTGCGGAGCAGGTAGCCAGCAGTCTGTAAGACAGAAGCTGATAACTCAGAGAAAAGAATTAGACAGCATGTAGATGTAAACACACAGGACGCGGACTCACGTGGAGTCAGGGCTGAATTTGCAGCGCAGCGAGTAACGCTTGTGTGCTGGGATTTTAGTCTTGGGAATAAGCTGGGTCACTTCATCTCCCATGCCTCCAGCGAGGTTCCAAACGTAACAGTTACCCTGTTGAGGAGAGGCAGGAGAAACATGAGTCTACGCTCTGTGACTCCAGCACCCTCTTACGGCCTGCGTGGGCCTACTGACCGAGCTGTTGACTGCAGCCATGTAACTGGCGTCCGGGTCAATGTGAACGGAGTTAACCGAAACCTCTGGTTCTGGAATCAGCTGCTCGTTGTGATCTGTTTTCAGATCCCAGACATGAATGACGCCACTTTGGTCTCCAACAATCAACTCAGCCTAAACAAACAAAAAAACCCACGGAACTATTAAAGCAAACAGAGATTTGCAACCAAGTGAAGAAACTCTACGTGACCTTTAACAATAACAGGACTGTCCGCCTATCTGGGAGTAAACTGTTGCACATCATGGCCTGAATGGCTCACCTGGTTGGGATGCAGACACACACAGTTGATCGGAGCGTTCACCTGAAAGATCCTTTGACACTGAAGATTTCTTGACCTAAACACAAACCAGAAGTTCAGCTTTTAAAAAAAAAAAAATTCTCAAACAGCTGAAAGTAAACTATCAGTACCTCAGGTCCCAAATGCGAGCCATGCAGTCCTCCCCTCCTGTGTACATCCACCGTCCGTCCTCATGAAAACCCACAGACGTTATGTTCTTGCTGACTCCGTCATAGTTGATCACTGGGTTCGGGTTGTTAGAGTTCAGGTCGTACATGCGGATATGCTGATAGCCTTTAAAACAAGGAGGTAAAAATATGAAGAGGGATTTTTATCCACGGAGATTTTGAGTGGAGCTAAATCCAAGCGGATTAACGGGGCTTGAACGGTCTAGTCAAAGTCCAGACCAAACTTTTTCATTCATAAGAGGTGGATAAGTAACCTAACTAAATTAAGATCTCTGTTGGATAATGTCTCCCTGCCCAATGCATGAAGCTGTTGCAGAATTGGACAGACTGCTGCACCCTAAATGCACCAGGGAGCATTATCACAGATCGTTCCTCCCAGCAGCTGTAAGACTTTATAACCACCACTGTTCCCAACAACCATAATAAGTTGTTACATTCATGCTGATTTTGGAGTTTCTGTCTTAGTCAGTTAAATAACATGCTGCTGTCATTTTGCACATCTCTGATGTTGCTGCTATTTTCATGGTCAACTCTGTTTACGGTGCTTCATTAAGGTTCATCTTAAACTGTAGAGCCACAACACATCACTGTGACCTGTACTCTCAGGTGGGATGGCCTTCCCTCTCTACGTGTCATTAGTACACTTTTATTTACAAGGCTCTTCTTGGATTACTGCCCTCTTCCATTTCTACCTTACTTACAAAAAAAAGCATGGCTTCTTATGCCCTGAGATCCAACAATCAGCTGTTGCTCACTGTTCCCTTTGCCCGCACAGAACTAGGAAAGAAAGCAGCTCCTTGTGCGTGGAAATTTTTATAAAGAAACTGGAAGTTGGCTTAGTTTTTATCTATAAATGCTTTTAAGTTGAAAGTGAAAGAATTTGAAGCAGCCTCAATGATCTGTAATTGTTTTACTTGATATGGTTTTTTTTATGTACCTGTCACTTAATTTAATATATCGCTGTTTCTTATGCAAGTTTGCTGCCTCTTGGCCAAGACTCCCTTGAAAAAGAGGTTTTTAATCTCAACGGGATTTTCCCCCCCTGGTTAAATAAATAAAATAAAAAAATCCATTTCTGTAAAAATGTCCATAGCTTATTGGATATTTATTCTCCAGGTGCAGATTTTTATATTGTCAAAACACTTTACAGTGCAGTATTTTATTGTTTATCTTTTAATTCTTCACTATTATGTTATTCTTATACATTTTTTTCTAAGATCCACATTTGCATGACATTTTTTTCTATAATCTTTCTGCTGCTGTAAACACCAGAATTTCCCCATTGTGGGACAATAAAGGGATTTTTTCTTTTCTATTCTATTCTGTTCTATAAAGGTGAGGTTGAACTCACCTGCAGCAGCAATCATACTTCGGTCTGGTGTGACTTCGAGAGAATTCACCTGCTGGATCGAAATGTTAAGGAATCCACCATCATCATCACATCATGGTTCTGTTTATTTTTTAACCAGAGCCCTAAAGGCATCTCTGCTGCACTGATCCAAGCAGGGTTCATAGGACAGGATACAGAGTCCTGGTGCTGGACGGTCCTGGTGCAGATCCCGCTGTGAGCCTGCCAGAACCGGACTGTGTGGTCGTATCCAGCCGTTGCCAGAATGACCGGGTCGCTGCCCACCGTCCCCTGGTTCACATTCATGTTTCTGCAGCTGGTTTGTAGAAAGACGTGAAAAACTGTGGAGATGAAAAGCAGAAACTGTATAAGACTTTTAGCATGACCGGCTAGCTGCACCGGTTACAATCTAGACGTTCTGATCTAGATTATATCAGATAAAACACACGTAAAAAAACATTTCGAATGAATGTAGAATTTGTTGACATTACCTACAGGTCTCTTTCCGTAAGAGGTCCGCCAGAAACGTGCAGCTTCAACTTTTAGTTCCGCCTGGAACACTACTGCCCCCTGCTGGTGTATCTACACATAACTACAGCTCCACATAAAAAATAAATAAAACTAAAAAAATAAAAACTTATCTGGCTTTTACATTTTTTACAAACAATAAACAAAATAGACAGTATCTATTGACAAATGGAAGGAATTAATAAAAAAAAAGCCAGCTAGTGCTAATATTCTCTATATAGAGACCTGAAAAATATGTCTAAAACTTTTAAGACTTTGAAGGAGCCCTGGAGTAACAGACAATAACTGAATGTTTTTAAATAGATTTTATTAAAGCCATATTTTAATACCACACCAACTGAATAAATACATTAAATATATAAATTAAATAAATATATAGAATTTGCTGAATTATCTCAGAACCAAACGAGCAGCAGAACATATGACAGAAACATTTGCTGATTAAAGTTCCTGAAGCAGCTTGGTCATATGCTGCTTCACCTCTCCTGGATCCGCCAGCGTACACGCCAGGATCATCCCCCTGAGTCCACTCTTCATCCTTGGAGACGGGAGGATCTACCACACATTATTTGATTTTATAAATGCATAATTAATCTTCATAGAAACAAATAGAGGCAAGCAAAGCCTTCAGTACCTTTATGTATATTTTGCACCGCCCCAATAGAAATTTCCACTTCAGTGACGTTCGTTGATCATCGGTCAAAGTAATGAACTCATCAGTCTGCAGCATGTCAGAGTATTGTTAGTTCAAAGTGGAACATGAAGATAATGGTATCTAGGAAGAGGGACTGACCGTGCAGCCGAGGGTCTGCTCTGCCACCAGTCCTCTGAGGCTGCAGGCCTGCAGAGTGCCGGTGTGGTCTGTGAAGTCCACCAATAAGTCGAAGCCGGTGGTGGTGGAGAGAGGCTGCTCCCTCCCAGGACAGAGCTGGTTGGTGCAGCTCTTCATGTCCTCCGTCACCAAAAACTTACATTTAGAACTAAAAAAAGGGGAATCAGATCAAAGCAGTGAGCGGAGCTCAGAGTCACTGAAATCATGACGCAGCTGGAAGGTCTGTTCCAGCTCTGTGTTTATTTACCAGCGGGTCTTGATGACCTTTGAGACGGACGAGTCGAGGTCGAACTTGGAGATGAAGCTGTAGGTGATGCCATAGAGAGGCTCTGACTGCTCTTTGGCCCTCTCCTTCAGCTGGTTCACAGTGTACACATCAGTGATGGACTCCACTGCACAGGCACACAGCTGCAGTTATTTAAAGACATTCCTCTGTGCTTTATAAAAAAAAGTATTCACACCAAAAAAGGATTGATCACATTTTGTCTCATCAAATAGGAAGGAGTGTAATTCTTTACAAAACCCACCGGTCGGATCTTCTGATGCCTCCTCTTGGTCTAAAACTCCAGACTCTGATAGTTTTTTAGCATAGCTGAACAAAAAACTGGCCTCTCTTGTGTCTGAGGAAAAATTGTAATAATAAAGTTAAAAACTGTTTTTGTTTTTGATGGTGGAAAGCTGACGCTGTTCATTCTGGCCGCGCTGCCAGATACTCTGATGGTGTGGATGTTGCAGTGTTATCTTACCGGGGTTGACGGTAATAATGGTCTTGGAGTTAACCGTCGCCACCATGCTGCTGCGAAAGCTGTCGAAGCTCATCTTTGCGTCAGCGATGAAGAGCACTTTCAGATAAAACCAAAGGTGACAGAAAGGTGAGTTCTCCGGGTGGGATGATGGCAGAGGAAAGGAGCAGCTGCTAGCCTACCCGTCTCTCTGGGGAGAAGGTTCTGCATCAGCTGAATGGCCTCCATGTCCCAGCTGAAAACAGAGAAGCCGGTAATTAAATAGAGGCAACAATAGGGAAGAAAGTTCAAAGGACAAACAGCTTTTCTCATTAGGCCACTGACGAATGAGGACGACCGACCAAATGAGAGGAAAAGAGGAGACGGAGTCGTCGAACAGCTTCACTTCCAGCCTCTGTCCTCTTCGTCCATCGGATGTTGTGAAATGCTTCGCTTCTCCGATCTGAAGATGGAAGGAAAACTTGTGTGGAGTTCATATTGCAGCATCTTCTGTTCAAAAGTAATACTCATTGAATTTATGTCGGATCTCATCACATCCTAAAGGCCAGAACACACCAGGTCAGACTGGCTGCATATAGGGAGGCTGAGACTATAGGCAGGGTGGGCAGATCTGCACAGATTTCTTTTTTTTCACGTCTGTCTCTGTGCTATACAGAAATGAAAACAATTTCCCACATTTGACTTGGAGAGATTATGAAAAGTTATAAAAAAAAACACAGGAACTGTTATAAAATAAAGCCCCAATTTAAGGGCACAGATGGAGAATTTTCATATATTAAAAACACAATAACATCTGCATCTAAAGAAAAGAAAAACACAGCAATAAACCCTGTGGGCTGAGGCAGAGAGAGGTGATTCTCAGAGAGTGATTGGGGAACTTTATCAAAGTTTTTCATTCTTTTTTTCATAAAGAGGTGAGAGATACACCACTCTTACCTGCTCTGTCTGCCCCACATCTTTTTTGTGAGGCTCAAAGAGGATCACTATTTTACTAAACATATTCTTCTCCTCCTAAAGTTTTTTTTTTTTTTAGGAGATTGATAAACTGCGCTTTCTGTACCTCATCATTTTTTGTGAGGCTTGATAAGGATCACTACTTTACCATTTTTCTGTCCTGCTAAATTCCCATCATGGGTAAAGTATTATTGTTTTAATGTTTAATTGATCCTTTTTGCACAGGTCTGTCCTGCTTGCTATATACGTGATGCGCGACTCTAAACCTGACTGGCTTCTCTTGTGATTAACAGACTTTATTTTGTATTTTACCCCAAAGCGGATGCCTTTTATTTTGTAACCACATCTCTCTTCCTGTCTCATGAACTTCTCGCTTAATCGCTGCGTAGTCCGAATAAAATTGTGTCAGGTGTGATCATCCACATTGACCTTCAACGAGCACTTAACGCCACGACCTCGTCCAACACGATTTTATCTCCGAATTTTATATCAAAATCAGATTCGGTGTGTTCTGGCCTAAACTGTCCTTGTAACATTGTTCTCTCACATATTTAACCAGAAACACACTTTAATTATTACTGATGGTATCTAAGCAACACACCTGTTTTTTATCAGTGCTATCTCTCCCTGAGTTTACATCATTCTGCTACAAATAAAATAAATGCATTTTCTAATCAATAATTGTTTCCACCTTAAAACCCTTTAATGATCTATATTGATAGAGGCTGGATATTATATCTGTTTTTCAATCTCATTTTAGGCTGCCTGTTTTGTGTTTTGTTGTTGATGGTTGATGATCAGAGAAGCTGAAGCTTGAACTTCTCTCAGCAACCTTCAAGCACGTCAGGAACTAAAACAGCTGAGATGAGTTTAATGAACAGAAATGAAGAGTGTGTTAACTAATAACCTTTTAATAATGAGGGTTCCTGTGCTAGAAAACTTTTGGGATCTGCTAGTCATTCAGAACATCATTGATTCTGCAGTAGTTTAGAGTCGGGCTGGGAGATACGGCTCAAAATTGTAAGCTCTACTTTTTTTAATCTACCAAATTCCGGTTAATCCGTTATTTTCCCTTTGGGATGGGACCTTCATTTAAAGACCAATGAAATCCAAGCTGTGAAAATCTAACAAACGTAATGTTTGCAGCTGCTGGAGTTACAACATTCAGCTAGTTTATCAGTTATCTAAGAATCAAAAGTGATGAAGTCACGTCACCCTGAGCTATGGATCGATTTTATCCATTGATCATCCAGACCTAGTTTAAAGGGTAAAAACATAAATCTAAATAGCTGGTTTATCCTTTCTGATTAATCCTTATTTCCTTTCTTGATGATGATACAATCCTTAAACTTAAATCATAAAACATTCAATAAACTGATTCAAACACCACTAAACCATGTCTGGAGCTGAAGCTCAGACATTATACTCAGACGCCTTGTTGGGCGCAGGTTCACATGTCGACGTCACCGCCATATTGAATGTGGCAGAAAGTAGGTAACGTCTGTTGTAGTGAACATCGATCGGCTGTGCAAGACCAATCTTTTTCAAGGTTTTTAGCTCGTACACAGTACAGACTGTTGTTTTTAGATGTAGATGTGCATATACAGAATTTAAAGTATAAATAAATAGGTATGTGATCATATATAACTATATGTCAAGATTATAAATGTGTATCTATCTATCTATCTATCTATCTATCTATCTATCTATCTATCTATCTATCTATCTATCTATCTATCTATCTATCTATCTATCTATCTATCTATCTATCCATCCATCCATCCATCCATCCATCCATCCATCCATCCATCCATCCATCCATCCATCCATCCATCCATAGAAATAAAGTCCTAGGACTATAAAGTAAACAAAAAAAGAAAAAAGTGTCGATATAAGAAAAAAAGTCATATTATGAGAAATAAGGGGAACATTTCCAGAATAACAACAGTTTGCAGAACTATTTCAGTGCTGAGTAATGGGGCCAGGTTCGATTCTTTTAATTATTTTTATTCGTTATGAGAATAAAGTAGGGAGAATGGAGATAAGGGGATATGAAAATAAACTCGTAATATTACAAAAATAAAGATATTATGAATATAAAGTATATTCTGAGATTAAAGTCCCTCTGATACTGTTTAAGTGTCTGAGTCTATCAGCAGATTTGCCACATTCAGCATGGCGGACGCTCTGACTCATCCGCAGCATAGACAGACCCAACGAGGGGTCTACATTTATAATGTCTATGCTTAGAAATTGGATGTGTGAAATTGGACTTCTGAGAGTGTTTATTACTTATTAAATTTTTTTCATAACTTCAAACTAGTTTTCAGTAAAAAAAATAAATAAATAAACAATTTTATGTGGATGCTTTGAGCTGATTAAGCTGCATGCAAAAATGTTTAGATCCAAACAGTACAAGTTTGATCTTTATCCTTTATTTAGCTGCATCCTTAGTTGATTTTATGGGGAGGGTGTGTTTGCTCTTCCTTACCCATTTCACCGCTGCCAGTATATTTATTACTGTGCCGTCCAGCCTCTGTCCGTTGGCCATAATATCTCCCAGGGAGTAGAAATCCCCAGGGTCTTTCACAGGGAGGTGAAGGAGAGGCAGGATCCCGTCGATGGTGTCGACATCGGCACACAGACACACCTGGGAGTGATTCTCTGTGACTAACAGCCTGTAGTGGCTAGGAGAGAAAAAACTGATTACACCCTGTATAGCAACAATGTGAATAACTCTCAGTTTAGTTTACAATTATTTACCTTGGTGTTTCAGGGCAGAACTTGTCTCCTTTCTCTGGATCTTTGGTGGAAACTAGAGGGTTTTCAATGATCACTGAGGAACAAGCATTTATATTGTCAAAAAAGCTCATTGCTCACTTATAAATAAACAACCCTGATAGTTTACTACAGAAAGACATATTTTGAGTTTAAGCCTTTAATATCAGTATTGCAAAAAAGTAAGAAAATAATCCACTGGACTTTTTTTCCAAGTTTGAAGACGTTTAAATTAAAAATTTTGGAAATGGCATTGAGTTTGAGGCTTTATAGAGCGGACCAAAAACAAAGCCTTGTTTTGGCTTAGAAGACATGCAAATTGAACTTTAATATCAGTAATCCACACAAAGCAAAGGAAGAAGGGATGGAGGAAAGGAAGGAGGGAGGAATGACAGGAAAAAATGAAGAAAGCATGGAACACTGGATCAGATATGAAATGACAAAGGAAGGTAAAAAGTAGAGGTAGGAAAAAAGATGAAAAAAGGAAAAAGGGGTGGGATTATAATAGAAAGTATGCACAATAAAAACCCACTAAAAACAACTGTTTTGTCTTATGCTTTTAATTAATTTCATACCTGAAAAATAACTCAATCAAATCCCAGTTTTCCAAACTGTATAGCCACCCTATAAAATACTATATAATGTTTGTTATAAACTTCTTTTTTAATGCGAACAGTCCATATTAACAATTTAGTCTAATATCTTTTATAGTTGAAAACATTCCTAATCATTCTTTAATCCCCACCTCTCATACAAACCCTGACATTTAAAGGGATGTTTCAGGCTGTTTTAAACTAAACATGTTCCCACCACAGTCTCCAATGCTGAAGCTGCTGGCCAGCCCGTTGACGTACGCCTCATTCCCCCAGGCGGTCACATTGATAAAGAAGTCAGGGGAGTCTTTCATGGTGAAACCAAAAGTGAATCGCTCAATCTCAGCATCTGAAATCAGGGAAGACACAGGCTTTTATTGCACAGATGGTTGCTAGAGAAAAGTAAACTGCATAACTAAGATTTTGACCGACAGATGGCGCTGATGCGCCAGAAATTGAGATATCTGAAACTTAGAGAAACTTGCACTGACTTCTCCTATCAGGGAAGCTCCTTACGTCGGTTTTTCCAATAATGACCCCCAAGACTTTCTGAAACAAATCAGGATAAACCAGATTTTTTCCCCCCTCTAAAGTAAATAAATACATCTCACAAATTTTTTAACAAACACAGAAGGAAAATCGCATTTGAAATTCTATATTTTACGGAAGAGGATTAGGGCCACTGAAACAAATAAAAAAGTTAACTGATTTTCAAATATTATTTCAGTTTAATATGGGAAAAAAAAAAAAGAATTCTGACTTTTTTCTCAGAATTCTTGACTCCAATCTCAGAATTCTGACTTTAATCTCAGATTATACTGAAATAAAATTTAAAAATCAGTTAACCTTTTTGTTTTTTCAGTGTTCCTAATCCTCTTCCGTAATATTTGGAATCATGAAACCTTAAAAAAAATGTATGTGGACTCACAGGATGAGAAAAGTTGGGATGAAGCTCAGAAATCGAAATATGGCTTTGAGTAGCCATCTTTGTTTAGCAAACGTTAGCTTTTCCTGTCTTTACACGATAAAAAAGAAAAAGAATTTCACAAACACGGAAAAGAACATGATACGAAAATAACTCTATTCGATATAGTTATTCATAATAAAATATTAAAAATATGACAGAACCTAACGTTTATTTGTAGCTTAAAAAACAACATTCACCTGCTAAACGAGAAGCCAAAACTGAAATGTTATTTATTTAGTAATATTCGACTGAAATAAAATTATCAGCTTTATACTAACTCATTTAGATATAAATGAGCACTTTACCTGCCAAAGTACCTTTTTTTTAAAAATCGAAATTGTATTTTCTCTCAAAAGTGTTGCACACGACCACAAATGCTGCGTTCAAGGTTTTCGGGAAAAATAAGTTTTACAGCTAGCTTAAAATGTAGACCGATATCATCGGTATAAATATAGAAAATCATAACGAGAGCATATTTCTTGTTACAAAATCAGTTAGAAAGAGCTATCTACAATTGATAGAGGCCCTAAAGTAGTTCTTGATGCTGTTTAGTCAGTCATCCACAGCTCATGGGTCAGAAGCTAAAAACCTTTTGAAGCCATTATTTCTTAAGTATAATTGGTTACCAAAAAAGATACAAAGTTAACTTTTATAAGCCTTAAAGCATGATTCCACAAATACATTTGAAGTTAATATTATTTGTGTTGTATAAAAAATTTATTAGAGATGGATGGTAGGGTATAAAACATTTTGTTTACATGCAGACCAGTTTTAGAAATTAGAAAAAAGTATGTAATTTCTGTAAATCACTGAGTGAAACATTTTATAGATTATATACATTGCTTATGTTTTTAACCCTTGGTTTGTTAATCATTTCATATTAGTACAGATTTACATGAGAGCAACAGAAAACATTTTACATAATACAGAAATATGGGTTTAATAACTTATTGAAGATTATTATCTCCCAAACAGTTAAATTTTAATCTGACAAATAAGTCCCTTCTAAACACAGATTCTTCTTTAACTAATGACTGCAGTTCTGTGATCAAATATATGTTTTTATGTATACAGTGTTTTATGTGCATGAATTCTGTATTAATTCTGTTTCTTTTTCAATGGAAACAAATCTAAAACGATTAGAAATGTCCCTAAATCAAACCACACTGTGATGAAAAATACAACTTTTCCTTTATTAATTTTATTTTTAATATAACTTTACTGTACTTACACTTGTATAATTATATGTAAATAGAGTGGGTTTCATGGAAAGTGTTTAAACAATGCCTTAAAAAGTATTTACCCCTCCTTTTGCTGTGTGGCTTTATGGGATTTAACCTGTGTCTAACTCCTGCTGTTCTGGTTCTCACCAGGGAGGAACATTTGAGAACAACAAGCATTATGAAGACCAAGGAATGCAGCAGAAAGGTCAACGAGTAGGTTCTGGTTCAGCTTTAGTTCTAAAAAAAAAAGGAAAAAAAAGCCCAAATTGAAAACACCTTCCAAAACTCTTCAAATCATTTTCTGAACCAACTGTGAAACATGGACATCCAAGAATGTCAGGATGGACAAGGAAAGCTTTAGGCAGCCAAGAAGTGACTCTGGAGGAGCTGCAGAGATTTGCTAAGCTATGTGTAAGCATGTTTGAATGTAGCTGATAGTGCATAAATACACAGTGTGATCAGGAAGACCATTTAAAACCCATCAGTGACAGAAGCTGCCCTGGAAACACCCTTAAGCTGATGGGTGACTGGTACTTTTCTTGTTTTGTTTAAAAACGCAAAACTGAACTGGAAGAGATTTGACTTCTACAGCTTTAAAGCACAGAAAACATTGGATATATTAAAAGAAAGTCAAGTAGTTGAAGTAATTGTGGTGTAATCTGATGGGTAATTGTCCAATAATATAGTGACTGCATCTAGTTAAAATGTTCTACTTGATCCAGTTTTATTTCAATAGAAATTTAAAATTATAATTTAATTACACGTGTCTGGCTGCTCTTTAAGTCCATTAATCACAGCAGCACATCGGAGATTCAGTGGATAAATCAAGTTAAACTTTCATTAGGTTCAATAATTTATTCATAATGAATTCATAGCTGACATGTGCACAGAGGCAGTGAGGCTTGTCACCCAGTGGAAACCTCTCTTCTCCTTCCAAACATGGACCTAGATGAAGCTTCATTTAAGGCTTGTAATTTGATCTACTGAGGCTTTCTTCCTGTGCTTGACACATTCACTGACAAACCATGAAAAAAGCCCTTAAGTCGGTCAGTGTTATCGCTTCCTGCAATTTTGAGAAAAAAGTCAACCTTTGATTTAAAAAGACGGTACTCAAGAAAAAAATCTAATAAACCTGCTCATAAAAATCTAAAGATATTTGACCCAAATCAAAAGTTATTTTTGAATTAATCTCTAATTATTTCAGCCTAATCTGAGTTCTTAGGGACTCCGCAGACCACAACTTTCTGTTTCTGTAGGGTAAAAATGTGACACAGCACACAGCCTCATTTGTCCTTGTCAGCAGAGAGCAAACCATTCAAGTTGGTCTTCATAAAAGAGCTTCTTGCCTTACCCTCTAACATACAAAGTTTAATTCACATCTGCAAAAAAAAAAGATATATATATATTTCTTTTTTTATATATATAATATATAAATACAGCTAGTACGTTCTTGGTCTTCTTGGTTTTACCTCTTGACTTTCATATAGCATCTGCATACTGAATTCATGATATAAACTTATCTTAATAATTGTCATATTTTGAGATAAATAGAACCAGTTGTCTTTTTTTAATTGTGTTTTTGAGTGTTTTCCTCATTTCTAAAAAAAAACTTTGAAACTTTTTGCACATCTGGGTTTTGGGCAGGTTGGAATTGGGCCCCAATGCCATAAGATTTCCAATTCGAATGTTCTTGAGATCATTACAGACCCTCCCTCTTTACAGTTTGTAGCCACAGAAAGGATTTCATGGTTCTAATCATGTAAAGCAGTTTGTCTAATTCCAAAAACAGCTAAGCAGTTGTAAGAAATTCACAATCACTATCATAACTTTAGCTAACTGGTTCTGTAACGCTGCCATGTCTAAGAGGACCAACACCTTCCTGAAAGGTTCGCTTGTGCCTCATTAGTAAACTATGTTACCTAAAGTCTCACCAAAGGTCATCAAGATGTTTTTGGTAAATGTGAAATGGATTTTAATATTCCTTCTGCTTAGCAGTGGTTCTGGGCTTGGATTCCTCCCATGGTGCCATATATCTCCAGTATTTTTCTTTTAATCATTGAATCTGGCCTTTGACCCTAATTGAATCATGACGCCTGCAGAGCTTTAAATAAAAAGTTACCAAGATAATAAAGTCATAAGGCATTGATGATTTTTTTAAATGCTATTTTTAAGCATCCAGTTATGTTGCAAATTTACATAAGTATTAGTAAGATGCGTTCAAAAATACCATCTCTATTTTTAGCAACAAGATGATTTACAGAATAAAAGCCCTCCTATCTAACTGCTTTTTTCTACATCTTTTAAAAAAAAGCCTATTTTTTTTAACTCTTAGATTTAGATTTGTCTTTGGCTGCTGTGTGCATATCCTGTTCTTCAAACATTAAATTCATGTTTTTGCAGAACATCCTGTATAAAATCTAAGACCAGGGGATGAAGGAAAGAAGCAGATGGTGAACGCATAGAAACTCAAGCACACATTTAAGCTCAGGGCATGTAAAAAGTGCTCAAACAGAGCATGTTTGAACTTTTTATTTGCTTTCCTGAGTTTCGTTTCTTGTCTGGTTCTAACTGTAAATCCAACGGTGGATCTTATGAGCACATGTGATCAGGAAGTGAAGGAGCTGTGGTTTATCCACACGATGAAGGATGTTCCCTGTGTTTTATTTGCTGCAACGGGAACGAGCTATGTATGCGGTTTAGTTTCTCACGCACATACGTTTGAATGCATGCATTAAAAAACAATTGACCTTTTGTTGAAAAATCCACAGCTTTTCATGCAAGGTTCTTTAAAAATCTAATGAAACCAATCTGCATTATTTAATTGAATCTGACCGATAAAACATACTGTACTGTCCTGTGCATGGTGAGCAATACCCTGGCACTGGCCACGATTTCACATCCAACTATAGCTTTTGCAGTCGTTGGCAGGAGAGCGTTCAGGCTTTATTGGCTTCCCCTGACATGGAGGAGGTCCAAACTAGCGCTGTGTGTACTCTGTAATTTCCCTGCCACCTGTGTGCCTGTCTGCTCTGTAGCTGCTGCAGCACTCAGCTGGCCTCCACAGGCACAATGCTCTGTCTTTTGTTAGGCATATACGGCTGCAAAGGAAACATTAAATGAATTTAATAACATGCTGTTGAAATATAAAAGAAGTCAGTGGCATGCATGCACGGAGTCAGTTCCCATCATTGTGCCAACATACAGGAGTATTGGGAGAACAAAAGTGGCGTCGGTTGACATTTTCTTCTCCTTTTGGAGCATTGTTTCTCTGCAGTCTGTCTACAGCCTCCTTAAAAGTGTATATTTGCAACTTAGGTAAGTTGACAATTCCCAGAGTTGTGGGTCCTTGGTTTCCCACA